GCAAATTCTACCACCAATCAAATTGTCTCTATGCTAGCCTTTGGTGCAAATGATTTTGTATAGTCTACTTCATACTCTTGTTTATATATCCCTTCACTAGTAGCCTTGATTTTTACTTGCGCATTTCTCCACTCTCTTTGAATTTTGTTTTATAAACCCACTTCGCCCCAACTTTCTTTTGCTCCTTTATGTAATTCCATCAGTTCACAATATTTGTTATTTCTTTTAATTGCTTCCATCTCCACATTCATGGCGTTCCTCCAAATTTCAATTTTAGCATCATCATCAATGTGAGTAGGATCACATCACCAACTACAAATATGGTCAAATTAACATTAATATTTCCATCTGAAAGTTCTTCTACAATTTCAGTCTTAAATTCAAAGCGGTGGCCTTTTATACCTTCATTGATTGGAATTAGAAGTGTTCTGTTCTGCAATAGAATCAAAGGAAACATTCCCTCATCTCCAATATCAGTAGTATGATTATATTCATGCCCGACTTTTGTATCTACTCTTTTGCTATATAGTTAGAGATAAGCTTGATTGCTCCCGAAATATCGACATGTATAAGGTTGCAAAATTTGTGTAGCCATCTAAATGCTCTTCTTTGGCAATGAATCTCTGGTTGCCTCTCTACCAAACAGTCCTTGCACAATCTATTTGGTGACTTCAATTTTGTTATGCCATTTACCATACTCTTATGTTAAAGCGTATTTAAACCCTAAAAACACAAGTATACATATCTATAGAGTCAAAAATTCATTATCTCTTTGGTAACTATGTGAAAGCAAATGGATTCTATAGGTTGTGAATAACATACAACATGAACATTCAATTTGAATATATTCTCGTTTCCATTATTAAACCAATTTTAGGGTGGAAAACATTGTCTTTTTCATGTTCAAATTGAATAATGATCCCCTTATCTTGCAATTTCTCAATAGTTAGTAAGTTATTCTTTAATTCTGCCACAAAGTAGACTTCTTCGACAATGTGTTACACCTTTCATGTTTAACCTTTTGTTACATGTCTCTGTTAGAACCATGGTGGAAACTTGACATAATCTTTGTAACTTCCATCTAGATTTAAGAAGTATTCATTCACCGCGCACATGTGATTGCTACATCTAGAGTCAAGAAATCCCACAAATTCTTAATTGGCCTCGTTCATATCAATGTATGCTATAAACTGCATTTCTTCTTGAGTCACTACATAGTTAGCCTCTATAATTTTTTCAAACATTTCCATCTAAAATGCCAGATTTGATGAAAATTATAGAACCCCATTATAGATTTGTCAAAGCTTTGTCTACCTCTTCCTCTGCCTTGTTCCCGTTGTCCAAAATCTTTATGGCCTCGACCTTTTTCTACATATTGAGCTTATTGATCATCTTGATCTCCATGAGTAATCTTTGAAGCATGTTCTTCTTCAACGTGATAACTAATGTGTTGTTCGAGAACAAGTAGGTTTCTTGTTAATTCATCAATAGTCAAAGTGTTTGTATCCTTAGATTCCTTAATGGAACATATAACATAAACGAACTTGGGAGTCACGAATCTAAAAAAATTTCAACTACTACAATATCTCTCTTGTTTTCACTGTTAGCCTTCATCTTGTTGTCTATGGTAAGTGTTCGAGCAAAAGAATCATTCACAGTTTCTCCCTCCTTCATATTGAGATTTTAAACTCTTTACTTAAAGCTTGCAACGGTGGATGTTTGAATCGTGTTGAACCTTCATACTTTTGCTTCAAGGAGTCTCATATGTTCGTTGTTGTATCTTTGTTAAAAATAAGCTCTCGAACCGAACGATCTAATGCTTGAAATAGGTGGTTATTTGCCTTAAAGTCTTTTAATTCCATATCATCGATATTCTTTCTCTTATCATTGAAATAGGTACTCTTTCTGCTACTACAAGAACCCCATTTTCAATCAGGCATAATACTACTTTGAACATAAAAAGTTCTCAATGAGCATTGCCCAGTGATCACAATGCTCATCAAAATTTGGTATTATTGGCTCCTAAAAGGAACTATCTGATCCCCACTTATAAGATTGTCGCTTCAACTTTAACCAGAGGCCCTATGGTGGGGTTTTGATACCAAATATTAGAAACTAAAACACATATGTGAAACATGTGTGTTCAAGATAACGAAATTGACATGAAGAGTTTTTTATTGAAAGAAAATATTTTGCTCATATATAGCCTTACACATAAGATAAACTAATATGAAAAACAATCCACGTTTTCAATCCACTACTAACACTTCCTAATAAAATGATAGACTAATTCAAAGGAAATAATTACTGCTAAAAAAAAGAGAAATCGTAAGTTGACTAACGAATTCTCTCTTAAATTGAATGCTATTGTAATCAGTTTATATCATTCTCTGGAAAAACTCCTAGAGACATGTGTAGCTTCAAGAAAACATCTAGATGACAATATCTTTGCTTTGATTTTTACACAATTTTTCGACACTTTTTGCAGCCGTATGGTTTGATATTCATGTGAAGTTGCACCTATAAATTCTAATTGTATAATTGATAGACTTAAAATTCATTGTTTCCTCGATGAACAAGAAATAACACTTGAACTCAATAAGAAAACATAACCCAAAGTACTTTTCTTTCAAAAAATATTGACAGTGATATTAATGTATTTCATAATATTTTCAGTAGTAGTTTCAGTATTATATCCTTGATGATATATGTCATTAAAACCTAATATATTTTTCTTTGATTTTGGAGAGTATAAAATATTAGTAATGATAAACTTTGTTCCATTTAGTAATATGAACATAGCATTATCTGCCCCTTCAATCAAATGTGCAAGATCTGAAATTGTGTTTATTACACCTTTAGTAGAATTTATTTTAGTAAAATATTTCTTACTTTTGAGGATTGTGTGAGTAGTTCCACTGTCCGGAATGAAAATGTCTTTTAACATGTTTGATGTCTAACCTTCTTAAAATAGAAATAAGATTAAATAAAGAGTAAATCAAAAACATATTTAACATTATTATTTCATGTAAACATAATATACACAAAACAACATACAAATTATTAAGTTGATACATAGTCCAAATATAAAATTAATATAAACACATCACATGTTATTCAAATATGTACTTAATCCATTGTTCCTTCAACGAAGTCAGCAGTCTCAAAATAGATATTGTCATTTCTGAGTTTAATTTCATTAAAGCTCACTTCTTTTCTTTTTTTCCTCTACAGATGCAATTTGTCTTTTACATAAATGATCTGGTGTTCTACACACCTTAGACCAGTGACCTTCCTTTCCTTGGCGATTCCAATTATTTTGGTCGTATCTGAAAAATCTAAAATTATTCATATGACCTCGTCCACGTCCTCTACCACGAAAATAGTTTCGACCGTGTAAAAGGTTTCGACCATGATATCCTCCTTGGCTGTGACCATCAAAACGAGCATGACCATTACCATCAAAACGAGCATGACCACCACGTCTCTTAAAACGATTAAATCCACCACACCCACGATTAAAGATTGTGACATTAATTTCAGAATATGTTATTGTTCATGTGGACCGTGACTGGTCATTTTTTATAAGGAGCTCGTTATTTTGTTCTGCCACTAGAAGGTCTGCAACTAATTCAGAATATTCAGCAAATTCTCTCATTTTATAATATTGTTGCAATAATATTTGGGATGCATGAAAAATTAAAAAAGTTTTTTCTAACTTTTCTTTTTCAGTTATAATTGTGCCACAAAATTTTAGTTGTGCTATAATCTGGTACATAGCAGAACAAGACTTTTTTTATATATCCAAATCTTACTTTAATTTTGTCCCACAAAATATTGGAATTCTTAGCATTTAAATATTTTGTTTGCAATCCATCATCAAGATGGTGCTCGATTATTCTATTCATTTTTTATTTTCTCTTTTCCATCTCGTCTGGGTCATCTGTTGATTTTCTAGAATTGTCTCCTTCAAGTATTTTGTTAAGTCCCTCCCATATAAGGTACTCAATTAGATTGTTGTTTCAGGTTATGAAGTTGTCCCTAGTTATGCTTAGAATTTTGAGTTTATGTTTAAGATTTGACATGATTATATCTAATGTAGTAAAAACTTTCGATAGAAACGATCGTGCTGATAACATGTTTAGAAAAACAACATATTTGAATCTAACTTAATTGAAAACCCAACTATGAGAAAATGATGAAGGAAGTGGAATGGTATTTTTCTATCTTTTAAAGTAAAATTTGGTGTCCTTTACATTTATCAAATGAGTGTATTTATACTAGTAAAAATATTACTATTATAATTATTATTACTATTCTATCTTTGACAAATTATACATCACCAATAATTTGTCATTACTATTTTAAGTTTGACTAATAGATAAAAAAATTTAAATAATTATAATAATGCTCTTTATTATTATAACATACTTTACCTTTTTTTTTTTATATAATCCTAGTCTCACTTCTTAAAACCTTCCTTCAGAAAATATGCTTCTATACGGTGATACCGAGCAAGCACATGGTGCTTGATTAAGCCCTTAAAAGGTCCTTTTCAGCTTATAAACTTTATGATCATTACCTTTTTTGTGTATAACCTTAAGGATGGTCTACATGCATTATTTCATTCAACTCTTCATGTAAAATTGCTGACTTCCAATCCAGTTGATAGATTTCCCATCCATTTTGAGCAGTAAATTTTACCACCAAGCAAATTTCTTCATGCGACACACTAGTGCAAATACTTCTGTATACTTGGCTAGTTCTTCATTCTTTATGAATTTTGTCTTCGTAAACCCACTTCACTCAAAATTTCTTTGCTTCTTTAGGTAATCCCACCAGTTTACATGTGTCATTTCTTTTATTTTCCTCCATCTCTACAATCATGACTTTTCTCTATTTTTCAATTTTAACAACATCATCATAGTGAGTAGGACCATTGTCACCAGCTGCAAGCACAGCCAAATTAACACTAATATTTCATTCAGGAAGTCATTCTCATGTTTCATAGTCTTCGATTCAAAGTAGTAGTCTTATACACATTTTTTTTATTGGAATTAGAAGTGTTCTCTTCTGATTTAGAATCAGAGGAAACATTTTCCACTTCTTCTATATCAGTAGTAAGATCAGATTCATATCTGGCTTCATTTTCTTCTTCCAAGGTAACTTCCACATCCTTATCACCTAACGTAAGATTCCTGCTATTTATGGTCTTTTGTGAAATTATATCATAAAGCTTGTATGCTTTTGATATTTCCCTAACTCCCAACAAAACACAACACAAAGTTTTATCATATAGCTTGTTTATCTAAATTCCTGGCTAGACAGTCTTAACACTTAAATGACAACAGCATAGCTGCTATCAATAATCTCAGGAAGTTACATGGGTTAATAAAAACGTTATATGATAGGCATGTAGATTAAAATTTTCAAGCATAAAAACAAGGTTTTACACATAAAAACACTAGATTCCTTATTCATTTAGGGTTTGTATAGTCATAAACAACTTTACAGCGTCGAGGAATTCATGTTTTTAAGTTTCAATTACAGTTAAACGCTATAAATTGATGAAACTTTTATTGTTTTCCATGATGTGTTATTTATAGCAAGTTTCCCATTTTAACATTTTTGTGAATAAACTTGAAAACAAGATACAAAATAGCAACAAAAAGAAAACAAAAACACCCCATAGAATTCAAACTTATTCACATCTATGCACATTGCTGCTAACATCTTATTTCCAGGATATTAAATTGAAAATAGTTGACATTAAGCTAGTTAAGCACAGGCTATCTATGCAGATCTAACAATGAACACAGAATAACAAAATTTAAAAAGGATATCTATCAAAGTTATAACATCCTTTACTTCAAACCTTAATTTATAACAATTTTATGCTATAATTTAGAAAAATTTAGAAAATACATGTATTCAGAAACACGGTAACCCTTCAGAATTTGAAAACAAAGCCATGAATCAGGATCACCACAAAATGCGACCGAGCCATTACACCGAAAGGAACAAATAATCCTTCAGAATTGGTAAATGGACGCAACACAAATACTAAATAAAAAGAGAAAAATAAAACGATTTAGATTATATAAGGTGCTCAGTGGAAGGAGAAGTCGTTTTGAAATAAGGCTCACGGTGAACCCACTGCCCATAAACACTTCCTTGGTGTTCTTATCTCATCATAGCACCAATTAAACATGTACAGGTATATTAAATTGTAACAAAATCAGAAACATTAGTGAATAGAAAAAGGCCTCAGTGTGTGTAACAATCAGATCCTTGATTAAAAATCTCACTGAAATCCGCTAAGATTAAATATATTATCATCATAAGCCTGATTAATTTTCAAAATTATTTAATAAAATGTAAAGAAAAACAGAAATCGAATGAAATTGGGAAAATAGAATGTGCTCAGACAGCCAAGGGTTTGTAATCAAACTGTGGGTGAAGATTCCCAAATCAGAAACTCTAGTCCACAATAGTATCGTCATCGCACAATATTCAACATGTAAAACACAAAAACAGAAAAATAGTAACGAAATCTTACTGAAATTAAGATCTGGAACTCAAACCGTATGCCAGTAAGAACGATGAGGTTGGAATATATTGGCAGTGAAGTGAGTGGCGAATCCCAAATTAGGGCTTATGAATGACTCGGCGGAACAGCTAGGTTTCGGTACTCATCAGTGGGCTGGGTCTTACGCTTCAAATTCAAGAGAGGATTTTACTTTTGCACCCGACATATTATAAAAATGATACTTGTAATCCTTTCATAATTTACTTTTTACCATCTTGAAAAATATTCCAGAATTTCTTTTTACGCCTAGTATATTTCTTGTGGATGAAAAATTTAAAATATCTTCAGAATTTATAAATGTATATGCGAATTCATCAAATTTTAGTTTTTTAAGGTGTTTTCGGATATGCATATCTGAAATAATCAAATATTTCATTTTCAATATGTTTTCGAATATGCATATTCGAAATAACTCGATATTTCATTTTTAGGTTGTTTTCGCATATGCATATCCGAAGAAACTCAATATTTCTTTTTTAATGAATTTTTGGATATGCATATCCGAAATAACCTCATTTATTCTTATGAAATATATAAGAATTTAATATAAATCATCTCTATAATTTATAAGTTATTCATCATTTTTTCATAAGAATCTAATCATTTAATATTAAATGTCATATTTTAATATTATTAATTATTAATAACATTCAACTTTTAATTATAATATAAATATATTTTTAATATAATAAACTTTTTAATTACAATATAATAATTCATTATCAATTTTTTAATAAAAATTTAAAAAATACCATCTAAATTAAATTTAATTTCTAAAGTTAGAATTAAGAAATATTTCTTATATTTTTTTATCTAAAATTATTCATAATTTTAAACAAAATATTAAAAAAAAAACAATTACATTTCACCATTATAATTAAAATTTTAATTATTGCATTCATTATTTAATTTTATATCATAAATTTACATTAATATTTAATTTTCAATTATAAATTTAACTTATTCTTTATTAATAATAACTCAATTTGATTATATTATAACTATATTATAAATAAATATCTTTTTAAATAAAATTAAAATAAAATTAAAAGAAATTTAGGATATTGAGTTATTTCGGATATGCATATCCGCAATCTTCCCGAAAATGAAAAATATGAATTCCTTTGAATATGTATATCTCAAATAACTCAATATCCAAAATTCACAAAGTGCGTTCGGATGTGCATATCTGAAGGGTATTTTTGAGTTTTCAATGATGAAAATCACAACTACTTAGTGTAAAGAGAAATTCTCAAAATATTATATCCCATGAACCATTAAAAAAAGAAAATATATATATATAGTTATTGTTGGATAAATCCGCTGAAATTCAAATATTATTTTGACAAGCATTATTAGAAAATAATTGGATTTGAGTTTAAAGATATTACACTCACAGTATAAACAACTATTACACATACAATCAATCAAAATCCTTATACTTGTCATGTCATATTAGTTTTTTTAAATTAAAATTGTGTTTTAGTTGAATATATGTCTCTCATTGGTTGACAGTATAAAAATATTTTACAGTGTCAATACATAATAATTAATTTTTTTGAGTTAATAATGTCTCTGATGCGTGTTTAAATTAGATATTTTGAAAATTTTGTCACCGAAATATGGTATATCGGATTATTTGGATACTCTTATCATACTCGATAGATTGAGTTATTGTCTTTTTATTTCAAGTGTATTAAATTACAAGATGTATATTTTATTTTCATTTTTGTTTATTTGATATTATGTATGTCTTTCATTAATTTATTTTATGTTACATCTGATAGATATTTCTATTTTGGAAAGAAGTATTATCATGGGCATGAATGATTAGTTATTATTCGCTCTGATACATAAAATTGATTACGTGGTAAGCAAGATAAACTAATTGTTGGTTGTGATAAGGCAAAAAATTACAAGAACAAATGCCAAGTGCCCTTTTCGAAGATATGTATCAATTGGTTGTAGTTGGAACATAAAGGTTAAATGTGGTATATTCACGACCGTGAGATAGCTAAGGATTTAGTTAAGCTTATTAATAAGTTTCATCTAGTTCTAATCTTTAACTCCACCAGTGTGTCTTCTTCATCAGTTGGGGCTTCAAAGTCTTTCTCTTTATGATGTTCTTTCTTAAAGACATCACAACAGAGGAAGTACTTCCTTTCCTTCGATCCTGAAGGGATAAATCAACAGTCAAATTTTCTTTGACAGGCCAACAACCTAAAAGTTGAGTGTCACCTTTAAAATCTCTTGGGTCGACTCAGAAATCCCTCCTAGGTTGTTTGTTTCTTGAGGTATGATGGTTAATGACTTTCGATCTTGAGAAACACCTGCAGCAGGTCGACATAAATAAATTAGTACCCAAGAAAACACTAAGGAGTTATGAGAGTGGTCGACAAGGCTAACATTTGTTGTTCTTATCTAGGTCCCGCAAAAAAGAGAAAGTGGCAGTCAATCGTTGTGCCATGAGGTAAGGAGGTTGAACTTTTTTTTTGTGGAGCCCACCAATCCTCTAACTCTCTATTGTAGTGGTACGATAGTGAATAATAGAGGGGAGTGAGGCTCACGCTTTTTCTCTTGCTAAAATTTATGGAACTTTTAAGCCAAGAATTAACTGCTTCATTAGTCGACAAGAAGATGTGAGGGCAAAGTTCCTCTATAAGTATTTTAATGATGTCAAAATGATTATTAATCTCTCTCTATTTGGGTTGGTACTATGAACAATCTTGCAATGGAAATTGGAATGAAGATCTCCAGAAACACTTATTTTTGAGAAAATTCAATTTGTGCGTCGACTCAAAGATATGTGCAGTCGACTAATCATCTTCAATCAAGCCCTGAATATGTCAGGTCGATCCTTCCGGTCGACTCAAACTGGAAATCAAAACATTCAAAGTTTGCGTCGACACAAGCCCTGAAGTGGTCGATGCACTGCACTTCAAAATGGAATTCTCTCTGACTGCTGGATGTATCACATCGACCCTACCGTTGACTCAACCTGGGAATCAGAATATTCAAAGTTTGAATCGACACAAGTCCTAAAGCGGTCGATGCATTACACTTCAAAACAATTTTCTCTCTGGGTGCGGGTTGTGTCGCGCCGACCCCTACTCTTGGTTGAGTCGACCGCTCGCTGGCCTCTGATTTTCTGCTATGTTTGTGGGTCTTGGCTATTAGGTAATATATATATATATATATATATATATATATATATATATATATATATATATATATATATATATATATATATATATATATATATATATATATATATATATATATATATATATATATATATATATATATATATATATATATATATATATATATATATATATATATATATATATATATATATATATATATATATATATATATATATATATATATATATTCATTATCCATCATTATTTGAAGTTAACAAAAACTAGTGAAAGATACACATAGTGCTCATCATCTTCATCCTCTCTTCTCAAAAATCAACATCTACACATAATCATGGTTGTTGATTAAAGAAAATTGTTGTGGTGATAACGTTCAAATCAAGGATTCAATTCAGATTTGGGTTGAGCAATTGTGGGTTGTTCTTGAATAAAAACATTTGGATTTTCTCCTCCAAGATTCCTATTGGTGCGGGGGTTTTTG